TCTCCCATCACAGTACAAGCCAGGCCCTGCCCTTCTTAGCTTCAGATGTTTGACGGGATCTGGCTTTCACATTGGAGACCACAAAATAATTGCTATTCTAAGCAATTGTAAGACAGGATGAACCTTCCTAAGCTAATAATTGATTCTTGCTTTCAATTATGCTGGTCCCCAAGTCAGTGACTAATAAACTACTATAAGGTATTTCAATTCTGCTTAGCACATGCCCCACGTCGCCCCCTGCAGAGAGCTGGCAGAGCATGAGAGACGTCAACAAATGAGCTGAAACGGCAAAGATAAACTGGTGACGCATGCATTCAGAAGCTTGTCATTCTCACATGCTTTCAATAATTTCAACAAAGTCAAATAAACCTAATGTACTCGATGGGGCAGTCTAACATAGAAAAAGTATACACCAGTTTTAAGTTGCATGGTTACCGCACGATATCAATAACAAAGTTGCACTACAAGCGCCGCGTTCTGTTCCTTAAACCAAACAAGGTAATCAAATCTGTGTAGCAAAGGGGTCCATTGCATGAATGTTGTAAGCCTGACGCCACAGTTTACTGGTCCAGCATTCCTCCTCTGCCTGAGAGTGTTAACTGTGATCCTTTTGAGCAAAGCCGGCTGGTCATTAGGCTAATTTTGTGTACTGTGAGATAATACGTGCAGAGTGACTGAAATAAAAGCAAGAGTGTGTTTAATTTTAGCCTCCACTAAAATCCACTTAATTTTAGACTTCCAGACCACCTTTAGCCTATGTTTCTGGCGGGACAGAGCAAGCGGTTACTCGACTATTGACATGAGCTACAAAGAGATTATTATTTTTCCTCATCAACCTATCAAATTTGACAATTATCTCCCAGCTTTTCACGTCTTCAGCTAAAGCATAACCCTTGCTGTGGGGTTCGTAAGCACAACCAAAGTATAATTGATTTAATTGGATGCATTGCTACTAGTATTTTCATTCAATTGTTTGAAGTATAGTAGTCCCATGGTTCTCAAACTGGGCTCCAGGTACCTCAGTGGTTCACTTGAACAAGGCTTTCCTCGAATGTTTATTGGTATACATACTACCTGATCAAAACTCAACTCTAAATGTGTTGGCAACGTCAAGCTCGGCATTAGCAATCGCACGCGTTGTTCTTTAAATGTTGTTAAATTGTCATAAGATTTTTTTAAATACATTTACAGTCTTGGTGAACTCAAAATCAGAATTATTTTATTTTATTGCCATAGTAAGTAACAGGAAGCAAAAGAGTTATAAAAGTAAAAATACAAATAAGCCATAGATAAAAATGATTTGATTACTACTATATAAGATAAGATGTGCTTTATTTATCTCACATAGGAGAAATTTACAATATATACAAGTACTCAATATGGTGTTATACCTTAAATTGTGGTGGAAGGTATTAGGGGCTCCTTGGGATGTTTTCAAATGCAAAAAGGTTATTCATTTACTAACATTTTAATTATATATATTCAAAAATACTGTATTTTTACTGACATTGGAATGCATTACGACATCTGTCATAATGGCAACGTGTACTTCCCATATATTAGATATATACAAATTTCTTTTAACACCAACAAGTGAAGAATTTATTATCTATCTTAATACTGGCCTTCTGGTTCTGAGAAGAGTAATTTGATTAAATCCAACCCTAATACCACAGGTCGATTGCATCTTGTTACATATCTTCCACACTGGTCAAATTCCTGTCCTGAGTCAATGCTCTGGACCTCACCCCTCCCCCACTGGCCCCAAAACTTTGCCCCGTCTCTCTCAGAACTGCTCTTTTACCACCAGAAGCTCACCCCTCTGCCCCCCTCTCCACCGCAGCCTACTCGCTGTCAACCCTGCTATTTATGTTCTTGTTTGCCCAACACTATAGGCAAAGCGGAGCAGGCCGTATGCCGCAGCTTCACACGGTTCAATGCTGGTCTTGGCTTGGTCTTTGGGACAATTTTAAATGGATTTAGTCTTGGTTCAAGTTCATCCAAGTTCTGAGTTTAATCCACGTGTTGTCCTGGATTCAGTCCTAGTTTTGATCCCTAGCTTGGATTGTGATATGATCTCTGTTCACTCCGACAAATGGGCAGGGTTTTGAGCTTGTTGACTACAGATCTATTGTCCTATGTATCTAATATTTGGAGGAACATAGCGATTTCATTTGTTAAGGTGGATTAACTTAATTCAAGAATCAGTCCTGCACCACACAGCCTCAGTCCTTGTTATACACCCGGAGTCCTGGATCTATAGCCTGTCCGTCCATGGAAGTGGATTCCTCTCTCAATTTGGGCCTCCCTAAGGTTTCTCATATTTTTCACACTGGGTTTTTTTTAGTCATTCCTTGACAATAAAGAAGGGTCTTAAGGACAGTGATGCTCCTACATCCAGGACATTTATTACCATTTAAGGACATTGGTCATCCCGCTCCCTATGGACTAATGGCGTTTGAATTGTTTACCCAAGACAGTACAATGTAATTTCAAAAGGCTTCGAATATTGCAGTAGTGTTGTCACAATACAATTAATACAAACTCTATTCCTGTACTAAGAAATATAGTGATTTCCGACACCAAATGTGAGAAAATGGGAACAATAATGAGCTGCCATTTTCAAAATAAAAAACAAAATGGCATCACAATCATAGTCTTTACACTATGTTTAGTAATGATTAATATTTAAATATTGTATTGTATTGTATTGTATTTTTGAACCAGGTACATGTTATTTGTCTGTTATATTGATGCATGTAAAAAATATGTATTGTATTTTTATATTTCAAACCTGCACATCTAATTTGTGTTATTGACAAGCGTAGTCTGATTTATAAGACCTTTCCTTTTTTTCCTCTCACTATTTTATTCTTGTTTAGAGATTTCTAATTTCTTACTTCAAGCTTTATCCCCCAGTTTAATGCAGGGTTCTTTCTACAGTCCTGTCCTCGACAATACTCCTATACCCCATGCTTTGGTCCAGGTCCAAACTGTTGCCATCTCTTTCTTCTCTTCCAAGTTGTGCTGAAAGTTTTGGGGCTTGCTCAGAGGGGATAAAGGGAGCCTGTGTTGCCCTGGCCCGGTTGCCCTGCCTCCCCTGTCCCGAAACCACAAGGCCGGGCTTTCTCTGGAGCTCCGAGTGGGCAGGGCAAATGGAGCAAAGCCAGGAGAGTAAATAATGTCTACTGCTGACGGTGACCATGCGAGCTACCTGCACATCAAAAGAGCCGTCATCTCATGTGTCGGTTGTGGGCCCAGAATAAAAATTTTACAAGACCATAAATCTACAGCTGCTTTTGAGAATCCGCATATAAAAAGTTGGGAAAATAAAAGGCCAGCTTTTTTATTGGTTTGGTCTCTATTCAGTCTTGCAGGGTTTAGTTTGGTAAAGGCCTTTTCTTTTTAAACATCAATACAGTTAATCATAAGTGAACCCCGGATATATTTTAATACCAATATGTTAGTATGTATGTATATACACAAATTAGTAGAAATATCTACGTGATAACATCTATTTAACTAGTGCCTTGCTCTCAAAACTGGTTCTATTACTGGTTTTCACATGCATGTATTTAGCTTCTGTCACGTCTTTGGATCAGCTTACAGTAGTAACTTATCATGCCATGATTCGTGTCTTTGGGTGTCATGAAAGTGCTATATAAAGTAATAAGCAATATTTTTATTATTGTTATTATTATCATTATAATTTTTCTGTAACAAATCTATGGCCATGATCTTTGGTTAATGACCAATTAGATGAGATCACAGATACAACAGGTCTAAATGAGTTTCCTCTGCAGAGTGGCTGCGTGCTAGAGATAGGGTGAGGTAGTCAAGGGTGGAGCTCGGACAAGAGCCGCTGCTTCTCCACATCAAGAGAAGGTGGCTTGAGCATCTATTTCGGAGGGGGAAGTGTTCCAGGCATGTCCCACGGGGATGAGACCAGGGGTGTACCCAGGACACGCTGGAAGGACCATGTCGCTAAGCTGGCCTGGGAACGCCTCGGGATTGTGTGTGGAAAGAGATTTCTGGGCTTCTCTGCTCAGACTGCTGCCTGTGTGACCCGGCAATAGATAAAGTGGAAGAGTCCCATCCCTCTATCAGGAGTCAGATCAAATGTTGCATGTTTTTTTTTTTTACTTGTTTTGACTCTTTCTGTTAAGACAAAGAAAACGTTTTTAACAAAAAAGGTCATGAATTCCAGCTTCAACTATAGCTGCTTCAAAGTGCTTGCGACCTCTCACACCACAGTATTGACTCCAAGCACACACGGGAGGAGGAGACTTGACTGATGGAGACAATTGTATCTACAGTAGATATTTGAGCGGCTGTAATTGAAGGCCACACATTTGTAACCATTCAAAGTTACAAGCAATTAGTTAAAGGCAATTAAGTAATGTGACACAGAAAGCTATGTTCACAATTCTAACAAACGTTTTCCCTGTTTTACACTGATGAAGCCACAGTTTGTGAAAATTTACAGAAAATAGAGCAGCGTGCATCAGCGACATCATGGAAGTGAGAGACTCAGGTCATCATAAAGTTTGGCATAATTTATTAAAACATTTTATTCTTGTAACATAGTTTGTCAAAATATGTTTCAGTTTTGGCAAGTTTTATTATACAGTTGCCATCCCTCCTGTGGTGCTATTTACAACCAGGAAGCAGAATGATGGGATGGAATTTGGAAAAATGTAGCAGAATCTAAATTATAATAAAAACTTTGTCTTGATCTAGATATCTCTATTCTCCCTTTGGTTTGTCCTTGTTTTGTGAAGTATCCTCGTGATTATAGGTAATTCTGTACCTTAGTTATCATGTCATATTATGTTGCCCTGATCCTGAAATTACTTGCTAATAACACTGGCAGATGATTACATTATGGTATGAAAAGAATTATTGAGCCGGACCAGACACTGGCCATCTTGTGTGAGTTTTCTGCTTGACAACATCGCCGTCAATGCCTTTGTGCAGCTGTAGATTTCTGTCTTCTCCTCCTATCGGCACCATGTCTGCATTTGCTTTGAAAGAGTTTAATACATCTGTCATAAGTTCATGCTGTCCTCATATATCCTTTCTCAAATACAGACTAACTACTTTGAATTAAAACCCTCTTCTGGTTAATTCAAGGGGCTCAGACAGAACATATGGCATTAAAGATTATACAAAAGTCTCCCCAGCAGTACAAATGTATTGTTTTGGCAAGAGACAAAAGATTTAAGTTGGAAACTTTAGAAACTGTAATTAGCAGGATTTATCGACCCGTAAAATCAAATAGATTAAAGCCGTTTGAGATTTCTATATATAAAATGAGATAAAAATGCTTTGGCGCTCATTCTGGCTGAAATGGCAGGAAATCATTCTGATGAAGTGGTTTCCTTATTGCTTCTCATTTGCCTGGTGAACGATTCCAGCAGCTACTAGACAAGTAAACATGGATGAGAATGTAAAAGTTTGCTCAATCAATGAAAGGGGTCGACTGAACTGAAATGTAATCATGTTCAATCACAGGGAGTGGAGGACTTTGGCTCAACCAGCACAGTTTTGAGAATCAGCACTTCGCCATATGCAATAACAGCATTGTAGAAAGTATTTAAAACAGTAATTAAATCGTGTGGTGAATCTGCTTGCCACATTCCCTCAATCCAAGAGACAATACTGATCTAATCTAGTAGTAGTAGTAGTAGTAGTAGCATTATCGTTTGTTATCCAGTTTTGGGATTTCTGGGGAGTTTTTGGTACACTAGACCTTGTAGCATTATTTATTGCCATTATGAATTTGTCATATTTTTCTTTGAGTCTTCTTTCCTTGTTCTTGCAAAGATGCCTAAAATTTGTGATTGTATTCAATAACTCATTGCAGAGTCAACTTTTCTCACTCAATAACTCCGGGCTAGGATAAAAAAAAAAAGTAGAGTCAGTTTCACTAAAATAATCACTAACTCTTCTCTACTTTTTTGATACCCTTTGTCGATCTGGCACGTTGCGCAGGATTGGAATCTTTTCATTTTCCTTCTTCAAACTTCTAAAACCTTAATTTTAACAGGTGAAGATGCTATCACTTCTAGTATGGAGGGAAACAAAACAAACACTATTGTTGTATGCTTAAGACACTCAACATTGAACAATATTTATAGGCGTAATGGACCAATGGCTCTAGGTGTTTATTCTTGTGTTTTAACCGTTAATTTCTCTGATCTGTGTTGGTGAATTCAACGGTTTTGTTAAGTCCTCTGAGATAATTACTGTTGTTATGTAGGGCTATAGAAAAATAAATTGAATTGAATAGAATAGTATTGTTTTCACTGTCAAAACATGCAATTTTTTTGGTAGTCAAACAAACAGCACATTAAAAAACATTTCAAGCAGAAATCACAATGGAGGCTCTTAAAAGTGCCCTGATGCTAAGTTCGCAGAAGAAGATGCCTCGCCTGCTATTAATGAGGAAGGGATTTTAGCACCAAAGCCATGAAGCAGCTGTCACTATGCCACACGCAACTCAGAGCATCTAGCAGTGTATAAACAACACAACAGAAAGCTCCACCACTTTTCATCGCAATCGCAGTGCCTTTCTCCACACTGAGGGAAACCACACATGGTTGGTTAAATTCAAAGATGGGGAACAAAACGTGCTGTTGTAAAAACGCTGTATAAAAATCACCATTTCGCAAAACAATTTGAGGCAAGGTGCAAACAAACAAAGCAGATAGATTGTTAGAATGAATTAGAGAATGAAAAGATAATCAAACAAGCAACAATCATATCAGGAAGCAATAAGTTATTTGGTTCTTATTTTTGTTGAAACATGTCAAGGTAATGACATTTACAATTGTCAACATTACAATTGTCTGGTATAGAAGAACCAAATAACTTTATCTACTATGAAGACAAGATGAAGTTTCCTTAACTATCAGGAATCAGTGATTTAGAGTCTAGGCTTGTTGGCCCGTCTATACATTGAAAGGTCTACAAAGTAAATTCCTGGGTACATAAACAATACCTCCGTGTCAACTTACATCAATGTCAAAGAACTCCTGAGTTTCATCTAGCCCTTGCACACGGATCTGGAGTCCTCTTCCATGGTTGCGGTTCCCACTGACCATGTTGGCACTGAGGCTCTGCCCAGGCTCCAGTGTGCTGATCCCAGCATTGAACTGGGCTCCGAGTCTGGTACCAGGAGTGGGCAGGACCCGGTATGAACCCTCCACTTCCCCCATAACTTCTCACTCACACAGGGGGGCCTTCTTCCTCCTCCTCCTCCTTCCTCCTCCTCCTCCTCCTTGTCTCCGTCCTTCTACCTCCTGAAAAACAAATGTAAACCTTTTATAATTACTTTGGTGAGTACAAAGCCAAAATAATGTCACTAATGCAACCATGCAAATTGTAATGAGCATACCACATTTACTGAAAGTTTAAAAAGTTAAGCTAATACAGCAGATTGTTTACATTTCTTGTATAGATGTAATGCAAAATTAAAGCAGGCCACTCAAAAGATTGATTATTACTCTGCATGGAAGCCTAACTAGGTCAATATACTTGCAAGAAAGTTATTTTTTTTTCCCAAACGAGGGACCTGACAATCACTACACTGCATTAGTAGACTTTAAAGTGATTTAGGCAGCACGAACACGACCAACAAGCTAATGATCGAAGGCAACATGTGTTTTTTTTCTAAGAATTGAAGCTGATTGCAGTTTATCCGACTATACTTTAAACAGAGAGAGAGAGAGAGAGACAGCACAGAGAGGCAAGTTCGTTTCAGTTTCCAAAGACCAACAACGAACACAGCGAATCCCAAACAAAAACAGCACAACATACAAACTTCAAACTTACCAATAACTAAGAATTAAACTCAAATGTTAGAAGCAGACGCGAGGAGAACCCGACTTCGCTCCATGGTCGTCTCGCCGTCCCTGGAGTGCCCATTCAGAGCGCGCTGTGATTGGTCCGTCAGACGCGAGAGCATGCGCCCTATTGGTCCCGATGGGGAGATGGATTGTGGGGCTAGGTTTACCTTCCCTCCACTTTAAATAGCTTTAAAGACCGAAGAATAAACTTGAGAGAGAAACACATACGCGCTTGCTCTTTATAATGCCGCCTCCTCAAGCTTTTCGCATTACCTATCTGTTTCATCCACTCTGGTCTGCCAGCACCAAAAAGAGGCACAATGGGTGTTGATAAATCTTATTATCTAGTGGTTGAATACTGCACCATATGACTTCCTTCTGGAGTTTGACCTGTGCTCTGATTAAATTAAATAGATGCATTCTTCCCATTTATGGCAACAATAGGTAATTTGTATACTTACATAACTTTACTAAAACTTCTCACTGTAATTACTTTCTTTCACTGGCTTTGTACTCCCTCTCACACTGTTTTTTTTACATACAGTAAATGTTTATTGGTTTATTTTGCAGACTATAAAGGAAGGGACACGTTTGAAAGGGGAACGCAGCCAGAGCACGCATGCGTTGTAGAAGAGCTCCCCCTGCTGTTGTTAGTATTGCACTGTTCATAAATCTGTTGAGTGAATGCTGGAGTTTTTGTTGTTTCAAAAATGCATTTTGTTTGGGTGTCTTCTTTAAATAACATTTTGTGAACAAATCGAACTACAACAACGCATTTTAACTTTAACATACTGAGAGATGAGAGGCCAAAATACTCGCATGTATGTTTTATTTTTATTACATAGATATTACATACATTGTTACATAGTTAATGTTGTGTGGTTTCAAAGTTCTCTGGCTTTAATAATAATAATAATAATAGTAATAGTACATCATTTTTTGTCTGTTTAAGGTTATTTAACACATTTAGTTGAGTTGAAAGAAGTACTATTCAGTAAAAAGTAAAAAGTAAAGATAAAACAACTCTGGTGGCATTTATTAAAATTTCTGGACAGTGGTCCCCCCACTCCCTATGAATCAATGTGTCTGTAATTATTGTGTTTCCTTTGATTGAACTTTTTCATTCTCTGATCTGTTTCTGGCGAATCAACAACTTTCCAATGTCCTCCGAGACAAGGAGGACATTATAAAGTTGCAATTTTAATTATTTAATGAGCAATATCCACTCATAGACAATTAGTTTTCCAAAATCTGAGTATCAGCTAACCAATACCAAATCTTTTCGATAATATAGCTTAAAAATATTAAAAAGAGAAATAGCATACCATACTTGATTGAATATCTAATTTAAAACTTTGTAGTTTTAAATAGGCATACTCTGTTGGTTTAGTGAATATAATAGACATATAGTTGTCATAAGCAAGTATAGGCTTATTCAACAACGAGCAGATATAACAGTGTGTAGTGTCCATTGTGGCCGACAGGAACAGTTGGCTTTGCAGTAATGAAACACACCTGCTTCTTATTAATAACCCTGAAACTACGTAATCACAGGAAATGTCTAATAGGTTATTCATGTTCCACATCACTTCAACTCAATGGGGTATCAGTATTAACAAGTTTTGCAATGTATTATCACTGGTCACAACCATTTCTGAGTGGTCTGTACATATTTATTTCTGCTGATGCAAATCCAATTTCCCTTCAGGATAAAAAAGACCATGAAACTGAGGTCTTGCCCTTCAGCTACAGTTACATCAGGGCAAAAATTCAATTAAATGTATTTTTGAATAGCCCCCTTAATAACAACAGTTATCGTCTCGGAAGGCAATACACAGTTGTCAATTCCTCAATAATAGATCAGAGAATCAAACATAAAAAATCTTAAACACTTTGGAACCATTGGTCAATAGGGGTGAATAGCGTGATGACCAATGTCCATAAATGATAATAAACGTTTATAACTGTGTTTCAATGTCCCAAATCATAACTGTCCTTAGACCCTCCTGAATCAGCAAGGAATGACTAGAAAATCCGCTTCCACGGATGGACAAGATAGATCCAGGACTCAGGTTGTAAAACGAGGACGGAGGCTGTGTGGTGTAGGCCGGGGGGTGACCATAATGTATTGAATAGCACCATGGATCTATAAATAGCACCTATACTTTACACATGCTTACTTTGAGAGTGCCTTGAACCTACTCTTTCTGCCTTAAATGTAAGGCACTCCAATACCACAATGGAAACGTGTAAGGAGCAGTGGTTGCTCTAGTTAAGGCCTTGGGACCCGTTATTATTATAGATCCATGCTTGGGACTCATCTCCAGATGTTGCTGGAGGATTTTACCTCCGGCTACATGTTATTTATGTAAATGTTATTTTACAGTTATTCCAATGTGGTTTCATTGCAAATGGCACTGGTCTTCAGTGGTGGGGGAGAAAACCCACCCAAACACAGAGAAAACACGGCAATTCCACACAGTAAATGACAAATGTTGCGTCACACTTAGAACACTGTCCAAATTGTGAAACTGTTAAAATTATCCAACAATTATATAAAAATTGTATCATCTGTTGTTAGCACATACCACAATGTATTATGTTTCACTGTAGTAGAGCTATTGTAAAATGTGAACATGTGAGGATTAGATAGCTATTTGGCCTACGTGCAGGACAAGCGCAAGACACTACGCAGACTCTGATTGTGCATCCATGTTATGACTATGATATGCTCTGAGTGTCTCTGAGTGACACGTACTGTCTTTCGAGTCTGATTCCCAACAATTATTATATGGTTGCATCCAAGAAGGGTACCTGAAGCACATTTAGGGCCCACTAAAGGCTATAGGGCCCGATTGGATGTCAGTGAGACCATATGTGTTTGTGTTTGTGTGTGTGTGCGTGCGTGTGTGTATGTATGCATATCCCTTCATGCTGTACTACTACTACTTCAACAACACAAACATACTGCATATACACTTTAATCTCATCCTGCCTGTAAAAGAGACAGTCTTCAGTTGTAATTACTCTTTTATTAATGATAACCCATTTGATGTCTTTGCTATTCTCTTCAGTTAATAAGGCCTAATACAAATTAGACAGTGGCTCTAACAGGACCACAGACTGTCAATTCTCTCATAATACAGCCAAAATAAAGTGATTAATTTTGGTATTGATAATTCTATAATAATACAAAATAATAATAAAACATATGTTACATGTAATGAAAGTTCCAGTTTATGTTTTTTCTGCATACAACTTACAGGACCTTTTACACATATTCCATGGATCCCCAGGGGCCCCACAACTCCAGTCAAACAAGCACTGGGCTCACTCCATATTTCTTACCATTATTGAGTGAAGTCAAAGTTATCCAGCGGCAGGAGCAGCAGGAGCAGCAGCAGGAGCAGCAGCAGGAGCAGCAGGAGCAGCAGGAGCAGCAGGAGCAGCAGCAGGAGCAGCAGGAGCAGCAGGAGCAGCAGCAGGAGCAGCAGCAGGAGCAGCAGGAGCAGCAGCAGGAGCAGCAGCAGGAGCAGCAGCAGGAGCAGCAGGAGCAGCAGCAGGAGCAGCAGCAGGAGCAGCAGGAGCAGCAGCAGGAGCAGCAGGAGCAGCAGCAGGAGCAGCAGGGTGGTTGTGGGGGTCGTGAAAAGTGCCTTGTAACCGGACTCTGTATGGTGACGTCGGAGTGTGTGATTGGTGGGTGGGTCCTCCATATATCCGCCAGCTTTGCGTCCCACCTTCTCGCCAGTGGAGTTTCACCTCAGCTTCTGCACCTTCTGGGCAGACGAGAACATAAAACAAGTAAGTGCACGGTTGCCTTTCATCGATCGCACGTACACCCCGTTTTGCCAGTGGCTCCCCCCGACTGTCTGCTAGCCTGGTGTGCACTTGTTGTCAGCCCGGATCGCTTACAGCACGCTTTGTGGCCTGATTCCGAGACATTTCCTGTGCTCAGCTGCTGTGTGCCTACGTGGACTTAGCGAGCCACACAAGTGCAGGACTGTGCTGGAAGCTAGCATTAGCAGCTAGCGTGGCTACTGTGCTTCTTACACTTTAAACACGCACATTGTATCACATTTTAGAGACACCATTTATATCAAGCTATAGCATTTATAGGCTTGTTTATTGTCATTTGCCTGATCGTTTCTCCCCATGCCAAAACCTGGTTAATTTGCTTCATTGTAGAGAGATGAAGGGGAGTGCTGCTAGTTAGCATGTAGCTGCTACGTGTCACAGTCGCCACTGAAGTTTTTAGCAACTTCGCTAACTAGGAGGGTTTGACAATAACATTTGTGGTTACTGCCTGTTGTGTACAAAGACCTGATGTTCATATTTATGTGGAGACTGTCCTAGTTTTGTGCATAGTATCAAATGTCTCAGCTTTTACCTGTAAAATAGCGCATTCCCTAGTTCTCAACAATCCTTGGCCCAGTTATTCTAGTGACTTTGTAGCAGGAGGAATGCGATTGTTGCATTGTGTTTTATAAAGGCAAAATTTATTTTTTATTAAATATTGAATCTTTTATGTTGTAGTTAAGTCCCTGATTCGTGGGTAATACAGAAATGTGGCTATTCTGCGGCTAGTATCAATTGAATTATTTACCATGAAACAACTTCAGTCTTCGCTGGCTGTCTCAGCTTTGTGGTTGTCTCTCGATACAGTTATGTATTGGAAACTGCTGATCACTATTTCCATGCGTAAGGTTAATGGATCCATAGAATATATCCATTAACCTTGTGCATGCATGAAACTAAGTATACATTATATTTGTTGTCGTGAGATTTTGCTGCATAATTTTGAGTTTTGGATTGTAGAAATATTGATAACTCCTGATTAATCCATTGGTCCGGATGCATTTCTGTTTCCCAGCCATCTAGAGTTGGTTCTTAATGTACCCAGGCTTGTGTGTAGTTTACCTGATATCATGTTAGCACGCACAAGTACTCCATCCAGGTTCTTAACCCCTAATCTGGGATTTGGGTGTAATGATATTGTCCTTACACTATAATAGGTTTTGCCATATAGTTTGACTTTGCCCTTTCTGTTTAAAGTCAGTGTGACATGTTGACATTGAACACATAATTGATTACAAAGCCTTGTTTATGATTATCATCTACTTCAGACAAGGACAATGGGACTGTCACACAAAAGATTTGCCGACACTCGCAAATATTGGACATGCTAAAATAATGTACTCACAGAATTTGATACGTTATATAGTTGTATATTATCCTATACTTTTCATTGTGGTGTTAATCTGACTCGGGTGAAATGAGGCCTCTGTTAATGTCTCCCCTTTTCTCAATTTCTTCTTTCCTCAGCCAAAAGCTGGCAGGCTGACGGGGGTTTACACCTTACAGGACGGATTATCTGGTAACTGACCATTTAGCTGGTAAGTTCTGTCTCAACTATCATTGGATTTTTAGTGCTCTGCGAGTCATTTTAACTTAATTCATGACTTTATCTTCTGAAGTTGAATGGATACGTTTATTCAATGTACGCAATCATAGAAATCACAAGAAACTTCACTGGTCTGCACTTGACTTGCTACACTTTTTAGTTAGATATCGTACCAATTTACTTGCTATGATATGGACAGACTTTTTTTAACAATAAAACTGTTCCTTGATTCAAGATGAACACATCAGCACCATAGTGTACTTATTATGCGTTTCTCACTAGATCCTTGTTTGTTTTTGAGAGGCGCTTGTGCTAAAGATAAACGTATGCTTCTTTCCTGACCAAACAAAACTCCACGCACACAGTCTTCTGAGCCTTTACTGGAATGGACAAAATTATTGCAGAGTGCAGCACAGGGTAACTCTAATTTTATGAAGTCTGACAAGAACAAGGCCATAAAAGGGGCTCCGAAGTGTCCTAAGGCCTGACGAGCTGCCTACCTGAGCTCCTGCTACTTGCATAAAATCATTTAAGTGATAAGCAAACACCTATCACATTTTAATATTGCATTTAACTCTTCAACACCTTGACAACTTCTTTTTAATGTTGTAAAAACTTGGAGGCAGATTCTAACCCCCAATATCCACATTCCTTGGCTCCTTTTGGCCCGACTATAGTTTTTCTTTGCCAGCTTCCAAGGAGGGCTGAAATATCATGTTTTGTCCATTCTCACAATCTTTGCTTTTCTATGAGCATTTGCGTCAATCTAAAAGGTAATGATTTTGAGAAAGTGTATCACTGAATGGCCTATTTAATCTAATTCACTATGGATATACAGCTGGGTCAGTAGGCAAATCCTCTTAACTTTGCTGCCAGATACTCTACCTGGCGTTTAGTACTTAGTATCTTTGGACAAATACAGTTCTACTATGGCACACTCTTGCCTATTACATATGTGTCAGCAGCATAGTGATAAGCACGGTAGTTTTTTAACATAAAGCACTTACCATAAAAGAGATTAGTAAAGTTTATCTAAAGTTTGCTGTTAATAAGTAATTGTTTCGCAACACATTCTATGATAATTTAGGTGTAATTAAACAAGTATGTGGTTATACCAGTCATTTGACTGTAATGCCATAATTGCAGTTTAGAAGAAGTCTTTTTCTCACAAATGGTTGCAAAATGTTTTGTGTCACTGTAACCAGGCACTTGTCCAAATAAAACATTTTGAAAGTAAAAAATCAATAGCGAGATAGCTGCTTCTGAAGCGTGACATGCCGGTGAACTATAGCGTAACCCTTCTCTTTGAGCCGAAGTGCAATTGGTTCAACAGATAATCCTCAAGAGGCGTCTCATTTTACTAATTTGCATGATTGTCTCCCACGTGCCTCTTGGTTTCCATCCTAGTTTCAGTCCCTGAGAAGAAAGATGAGAGCGTGGAAATAGTGGCAGAATCTTGGACAACATTTTCAAAGTTTTGTCTTCTTCTTCAGTTGTACATTTTGTTCCCTGTTGCACAGTGTATAGGTCACAATGAAGAAAGGCCTGATTTTCTCCATCCGTCTTCAGTCATTTGTTTTTGTATATCCATACCACACCTAAGCAGAAATTTCAATTTAATTTTCATTTTGTGAAGCCATTTATAATAAAAAATATATAATTTAAATGTAATGTATTATATTATAACCACAGTTTAAAACATTCAAATGACCCTGATTAGCAATTTCTGTCCCCCAGTTCTCTATAGCATGCATTCCCACTTTAACATCTTTGACGGGTTGTAGTCTTTTGTTTTTGTTGTGGATGAGGTACTTTCTCCTCGCCTTTCTGTGAAGTTCTCCATTCTTCTTTGCAAGAAGCCCCCAGTTCTTATACATTTGCGGGCCGATTAGCATGAACCCAGAGCGACTCAATAATATTATTTGATTATGTGGGTGCACACAACAACCGACAATGATTGGTACAAAACCTTTTTGTTTCTTCATTCATAATTTCCAGGATTTGGCCAAGACGATAAAATCTGATTTCTGTGTGTGAACTTTCACGCAGGACAGTATCTTGCAAATTCATGGCTATAGTCAGCCTTATTATTATTTAGATGTAGTTTATTTGCCGTAAAACCACATTGTAATACATGTGCCAAAGTACCCCAATGTGCAGTATTCAAATAAATGTATCCCTCTTTGAGAAACACCCTTTACAAAAACTGCAGTAAGCTCAGTTTGTTGCTTGATCTGCTTTTTTGAAACATACATTTGTTTTGCAGTGACGCACTCGGACTCTGTGTTAGCGTGGGATTTTCACCATGAGCTCAGTCGCTGTACTTACGCAGGAAAGTTTCAATGAGCACCGCAATGGGCTCATGCCAGAGCAGGTTGGAGGAGGACGTAAGTGTAGTACAAGTAAGATTCCCATATATGTAGAGTAAATGGTAGTAATATAATGTCTCTTCACTTTCAGCAGCTGTTGTGGCAGGACCCAGCGTTGTTGGAGAGGAGGAGGACGCCCTTCCGACCTATAAGGACGCCTTCCCTCCTCTCCCCGAGAAGGCCATGACGCCTGAGGCCACCCAGGAAACCACCAACGCCTGGGCCAACAAGATCCGGCCTCTCAAGTCTTCTGTTATCACCCAGGTACCTTCTATACAATTACATTATGGTTTAGATTGATTTATTTGAAGGAATGTGTGCGGTTACATTAAAAAGAGACCAGATTCAACACATGCTAATTCACTGCTTGCCCTAAATGCAAAGGCTTACTTTACATACAAACTTTAATGTTAAACAGTGAATTTTAAGTTGCAACGCATTGCAGAAGTATTTTGATATTCAATTAATTTATTTTTTTCAATGTCACAGTGCATGTCAATGAACACATTAAAAACATGAATGCAAACATGCCAGATTAAAACCAAAGCCTATTTTCTATCTGGGGTTAGGGTCTCAAGGGTTAAATACAGCAACAATAGAAAAAAAAAAGCTTGCATTCCCGCACAGGCCACAGTCCACACATTAATAGTCCACCAACATCCACAATGTTAAGAGTCCACATCATTGCAACTGCAGTCACCTCAAAGGACTTCACAAAGTTGTCAAATCACCAACAACAGATCAGAGAATCAAACGGTTTGACCACAGGAAATGCAATAAAAACCAACACATAGGAGCTTTTGTTAAAAACTGTAATAAAGCAGCCATTATGCAGGCTTGTCACAGTAATTACTATCTCAACCTATCGTTCAACAACACGTGGTAATTTATTGCCTGTGGGAATATTTTCTGTGGTAGAATTTTTATATTTTTGGCTTTAGAAGGTTATGTATGGTTTACTCTGTTTTGATCGTAGTTTCAATATTGGATCCTCACAATCTTTCTCTGAAGCAATATATTGTCAACCCAAGTCTGGTGTGGCAGATGCCTAATAATAAAAAACAATATTTGAAATATACAGATTAATATAAAATGTGAGGTAGAATTACAGCTAGCTTGAACGCTAAAGCAGTAAATTTATATCCCTTATGTAACCAAAGAAGTGTGGCCTGTGATATACTTTGTAAAAGAAGCAATAATTGTATCTGTCACTGTTTCACAACGAGGTCATATTTCTAGAGCAAAAGTGAGTTGCATCAAGGGGCCAGTCATCCGTTGAAAATCACTGGTCCATATGCACATCGGTGAACACACAGACTGGGGTGAAGTGTCTTGCTCAATTGTGCGCTATGCATTGATTGTACTTTGCTGTTGTCTTTGGCGCCTTTGGGATATATGTGTGTGTCGGTAGAGGATTAAATTATATATTGGGGCATGATCACGGAAACATGACTCTGAAAAACGTTCTGATTTTGAGCTGGTTGGGTGTACGTGGGGGAACTGGTATTTGGACCGGTTCCTCTTTCCGATGTATTATCTAGAAAGTAATATTTCCCTGGTATCAGTACTTAACTCTATATATTATTTTCCCCTACTTATTATACTTCTAGACTTTTTTTATTTTATATTATATCATGACTTAAAATGGCAACCTGGCTTCTAACAAATGTATTTTTCTTACATTTTCAATCCAATTTATTCTTTTCTATCCCTAAATCACAACAATAGTAATCTCTCGCGAATTCGCCAACACAGAGTAGAAAATCAAACACAAGAAATGCAGTGATTTAAAAAAGAAAAAAGAAAAAAAAAAAACATAGCCATTTGTGTCCGTTTTTTATAGATTTTACGTCTTTACAACGTTTATGGTGTCCACCTTTTTTCTGTTACACATAAAACTCTCAAATGCCTAAATACTTAAATGTATGGCACCCAGTCCTAGTTGGAGTAATCTTAAAAGCTCTACATATTGCTGCCATTATGATTGCTTCTTTTGTTTGAACTTTTTAAGGTTTTCCATGTGCCACTCGAGGAGCGCAAGTACAAGGACCTCAACCAGTTTGGGGAGGGCGACCAGGCGAAGGTCTGTGTTGACATCATGCATAAGACTGGAGCCCATCTGGAGCTCTCCTTGGCTAAAGACCAGGGCCTCTCCATCATGGTGTCGGGAAAACCAGACGCCGTGATGAAGGCTCGCAAGGAAATCGTGTCCCGACTGCAGACTCAGGTGTGTGTGTTTTTTAATTTAAATCTTTAACTTAATATAACATCAGCTTAATAATAATAATAATAATAATATTAATAATAATATTAAGTACGAGTATAGGTATTTTTTTATTTCCCTTATTGTCCCTTTTAGGTCAGATGTAAGGGAATTCTTTTACCTTACACATAACTAGCATTGCAACACATATTTACAACATCCGCTTTCCTTTGCATTCCATTGCCCAAGTTTAGACGCTTCACTTGACATTTGAAAGCCCTTCCTCTAAAAGTAGAGGACACACATGTTATTGGACAAGCTGATAACTTGAATAACACTTTTAATGCGTTAGTTTTTTATCACTAAACTTGTATTACCATGTTACAGGCCTCGGCTACTGTTGCTATCCCTAAGGAGCACCATCGCTTTGTCATCGGAAAAAACGGGGAAAAGCTTCAGGAGCTTGAGCTGAAGACTGCCACCAAAATCCAAATCCCACGACCGGAAGACCCCAGCACCCAGATCAAGATCTCCGGAACAAAGGAGGGCCTAGAGAAGGCCAGGCATGAGATCCTGCTAATCTCAGCTGAGCAGGTAACTCACAAACCAAACCTGAAATCAACTGATAAACAACCTAGTAAATAATCATAATAATGTATGGCATTTTGATTAATGAGTAAATGCAACGATTACAAACACATAGGATCCATTGGTCCATAAGAAGCGGGATGACAACTATTAATGTTAATAAATGCCCTGGATCATCACCACTGTCCTTAGACCCTCCTGCATGGACAAGGATCAAATTGTTTTAATAAATCCATGAAGCGTTCTGATTGGATTTAACACAGTGAAATTACATTGAAACGGGCATTTTGTTTTATTTCTCAGGACAAGCGTGCAGTGGAGAGGGTGAGCATGGATAAAGTGTTCCACCCGTTCATCACTGGTGCCTACAGCAAAGTGGTGTCAGAGATGATGCAGGAAACTGGCGCCCGGATCAACGTGCCCCCTCCAAGTGTCAACAAAACCGAGATCGTCATCACCGGAGAGAAGGAGCAGGTGGCCCTTGCTATGGTTCGCATCAAGAAGATTTATGACGACAAGGTAAGACCGGCTCTGCCTGAATCGATGCTTTTATTACAACATTATATAAAGAAAATCTGTCCTACTGGTTGATTCTATTAATTGACAAAATTGCTCTTTGAGATCAAATATTTGATAAAATAGTAAATAGATAAACCCGTAATAAAAATAGTTTTGTGTATAGCCCCAATTCACAACAGTACATATAAAGTTTGATCAGTGTTGAAATGACAACTTCCTCTAAGAATCAAACGGTTCAAACTGGGGCTGCATGATATCGCGATATTGGTGCATGCAATATCCATATTGAAAAGATCACAATTTTTTTCCTTTTCTTAAAGCTAAGATTAAGATAAGATACACTTTATTGATCTCACACAGGATAAATGTACATGTCACATCTGGCATGGATAGAATCACTCAAGATTGTGCAAAAGAAAGAAATGTGCAAACATGTTAAATGCAGGATATGTTATGTACAATAAAAAGTGGCAATTCAAAACAACAAAACAGACACATCAACATTAACAACAAACAAACAAAAAAGTATATAAATAGAAATAAATATGTATTTGAATGTCATTAATGTTGTAATCTCTAATATCATGCAGCCCTAACACAGCAAATGCAATAATAGTAAAACCCATAGAAGCCATTGGTCCATATGGGACGGATGACCAATGTCCATAAATGTCCTGGTTTATGAATACATGTGTTTTGCAGAAGAAGAACACCACCACTATTGCTGTGGAGGTGAAGAAGTCCCAGCATAAATATGTGATCGGCCCCAAGGGAAACACTCTGCAGGAGATTCTGGATCGAACTGGTGTGTCCGTCGAAATCCCACCATCCGACAGCAGCTCTGAAACTGTCATCCTTCGTGGGGAGCCCGACCGCCTGGGTCAGGCCCTCACTGAAGTCTATGCCAAGGTATCTATTTATTTTACAACATTATAAATTGGATAGTGATTGAGTGCGCTAATTATCAATGGGGGGTTGTGTTGCAGAACAAGGACCACAAATTGCAGAATATGCAAATTGATGGTGGCCATGAATGTTGTAGTGTTGATGGTGTACACTTGTCCCTATCAAATAGACTTAAAAAATACATGGTTAGGCTATAAACGGATCTCCCAAAACTACCCTCAAAGTACTTTTAAAACACTATCCCGAAAGTATGGAGAGAGTAAGAGTATGAACATGCAGAAATCCAGTAATTTGATAATATGCATATCTATACTACTCGTATAGTATTTTGGTGTAGTCTATTTGTGACCATATATATTTTTATGTAACATGTTGTTTTTTCCTTTTTGTTTTTAGGCAAACAGTTACACCGTTTCCTCGGTCACAGCTCCCTCTTGGCTTCATCGTTTCATCATCGGCAAGAAGGGACAAAACTTGGCAAAGATCACCCAACAAATGCCCAAGGTCTGATAAGGCCCTTATTCAATTAATTATAATTGTTTTCTTTTTTAATGCATACAAACATACATTTGTTTTAGGTGCACATTGAGTTCACCGAGGGAGAAGAGAAAATCACCCTGGAGGGACCTACCAAAGATGTACAGATGGTGCAAAGCCAAATTGAAGCTATTGTTACAGACTTGGTAGGAAGCCATTTTGGATTCATTACTTTGAAAAGTGTAAATTACTAAAAGAATGTGGTTATACTTGCTCTTTTGTACTTGCTGGGTTTTTGTACTTTAGTCTTTAATCATTTTATACTTCTTTCATTATTATGCTAAAGATATAGATTGTATACTGCTTCTTTTTATGCTAGATATTCTATTTTTGTATAGTTATTTATCTTGTGCTGTGTCCTCTCCTGTTACTGTGTGTAATTTGTGATGCAACACTGAAGTTTCCTTACTGTGGGACAAATCAAAGGATCTCTCAATCTTGTTATTTAACCACTCTATTTTCTTATCTGAAGATAAGCCGTATGGACTATACAGAGATTAGTGTGGACCCCAAGTTCCATAGACATCTAATCGGGAAAGGAGGCGTTAACAGTGAGTTATGTTTGGTTTTAAGGCGTTCACTGCATCATTCGCTTCTACAACAATATTTGATTATTATTCCAGTCAACCGCATTAAAGAGGTGCACAAGGTCACCGTGCGGATCCCTCCTGACAGCGAGAAGAGTAACTTGATACGAATTGAAGGAGATCCACAGGGTGTTCAGGAAGCCAAGAAGGAGCTGCTGGAGCTGACGTCACGCATGGTCCGCCTTAATCTTTAATTCATAGATTTCTGTTGAATTGAATACGGTTTGAAAATACTGATTTGGACTGACTTTGCAGGAGAATGAGCGTACAAAGGACCTGATCATTGAACAGCGTTTTCATAGAGCCATCATTGGCCAAAAAGGGGAAAAGATCAAAGAAGTGAGGGACAAATTTCCCGAGGTAAGATTAAGTTCACTTTGTTTGAATGAAAGTTGTCTAAGTTGGAGATTTTAGATTTGCATCCTCATTATGGTGAAGATGTTATACTTCTCTTTTTGTCATTAAGTTCAAGATTTTATTTAATTTAATTTTAGTATAGCGGTATTTTTCATTTATCTTGTGTTGTGTGCTCTTGGAAAAAAGTTTATTTTTGACCTTGTCTTGATCCAGCGGGCGTATGAGCCTCATGTGGTCTTTGCTTTTTTCAATCACGGTTTTGTCTTTAATACTTCAGGATGAATTATTTTGTATGTTTTCTGGTGCCGGGATCCCTCAGCAGAGAAAATCTACAAACAAATGATCTTATAGCATCTGATTCCATCAGACTATTTTGATGGAAAGTAAAGGTGCTGACCACTCACAGCCACTGAGTGACTAATGCAAACTATGCAAAATATCAACTTCTTGTATTAAAAGTCGCATAATTCCCCTTTAAACGTTACTGTTAGTTCTGGTTCATCTTATAAGTACTTTGATTTAACATCACAGCCAGAGGGACTCGTGCTTTTATCATGTGTCCTATTAAACTCTACTGTCCCATGATTGAGAAATAAAAGCAAAACTGATTGAGGTACTTTTATTCCAGGTTATCATCAACTTCCCCGACCCGGCACAAAAAAGTGACATTGTCCAACTCAGAGGCCCAAGAACTGAGGTGGAGAAATGCTCCAAATTCATGCAGAAGATTGTGGCTGAAATGGTAAATGTTCTCCATCTGTCCGCTCCCATTTCAATCTGAAACTCTAATCTGTGCCTTTTTTGTTTTTACAAGGTGGAGAACAGCTTCTCTGTCTCAGTCCCAATCTTCAAGCAGTTTCACAGAAATATAATTGGCAAAGGAGGTGCTAACATAAAAAAGGTATTTAAAAACACTGCATTCAGTACTTGCATCTTTTATTGAATTAATAAAGTCCGACAATCTAACTTTTTCCTTGAAACGTTTAATGCCTATTGAATGTTTCCAATTTTAGTTATATAGTATTGTTTGTTTATCTAATCTCCTCTTGCTAGTGCTGCCACTAACCTGTTTTAGTTGCTTTCAAATTTTTTCTTATTATTCTCCAGATTCGTGAAGAAACAAACACTAAAATTGACCTGCCTGCTGAAAATAGCAACTCAGAAATGATCATAATTACTGGGAAAAAAGCTAATTGTGAGGCTGCACGCGTTCGCATTTTGGCCATTCAGAAGGAGCTGGTAAGACACAATAAAGAGACATTGTCTATATATTAAGTGTTGTATTTCATCATAAAGGCATTTATTATTGTGCTTTTCCAGGCAAACATCTCTGAAATCGAGGTGTCCATCCCCTCCAAGCTGCACATCTCTCTGATCGGTTCGAAGGGGCGTCTGGTACGGTCCATCATGGAGGAGTGTGGGGGGGTGCACATCCACTTTCCCACTGAGGGCTCTGGCATCGACAAGGTGACGATCCGGGGGCCAGTGGAGGAGGTGGAGAAGGCCAAGCAACAGCTGCTGGCCCTGGCTGAGGAGAAGGTTTGTTCAGGATGAAAGACTACATTATTTTACTATATCAGGGTAGTTTCAGAGCTATGGAATTAAAAAGGCATTCAAATTGATGTTGCCAAATCAAAGACCTTGAAAAACTTTTGGCAACATTTGATTTGAGGGATTGTACTTTTTTTGGTCCTTTCAACATAAATTGGAGAAGTGTTGGCAAATATCCCAGCTTTTATTATACTTTTATTTTTAATTTCCAAAGCCAAAATTGTATCGTTTCACCTTTTTGTTAGACCTTTTGTTAGACCTTTTTCAGACCATAACAAACTGGAGCTTCCCTGTATACAAATGTATTGACTGTGGAAATATTTCATTGATGTGCACATATACACACATTGTATTAGAAGTTGAAATTGAAGGAGGATTATTTCAGATATTATGTAAAACACCCCTCCGTTAGCTTTCACAGCTTGATATTGATCTATTCTTTGGTTTACTCCAAAGCAAACTAAGAGCCACACTGCTGAGCTGCGTGCGAAGCCGGAGTACCACAAGTTCCTGATCGGGAAAGGAGGCGGAAACATCCGTAAAGTCCGCGACAGCACCGGCGCTCGCATCATCTTCCCCACGGTGGACGACCAAGACCAGGAGCTCATCACTGTGGTGGGCACCGAGGAGGCCGTGAAGGAGGCGCAGAGGGAGCTGGAGGAGCTCATCAAAAGTCTGGTGAGGACTATGAAGGAGGACACGCACCAAACTGATTCTTTTACATCTTTAGGTCTTTTGACGTTTCAGGACCTCGGCTTTAATGCACAAAAGCTATGTAATAAAATCCATCTAACTAGTTCCTTGCTCTCAAAACTGTTTGTTAGTTTCTGGCCTCTGAAAAAGCTGATCTAAAATATGTGGCAGACAGAAAAGTGAATCAGGGAAGACCTCACTCGCTCTGCAAAAATCGGCTCTCAGCTCAAAGCATCAAAGTGTCTCAAAGGGCTCCTTCTTCCAAACATGCAAAAGATTATGTAACCTGCATGTTTTTTTATATTTAAAAGTTAGATGTTGGACAGCAGTCAGTTGGGCCAAGCAATATTAAGGTTTTTGCAATCCAAGACAAAGTAAAACATGTGTGGGGCCTTTTATTGTGCCTTTTACTTGAATAGAAGAGAACTGGGAATACCAGGTGCAACAGTGGGACATGCACTGTTATGATAAGAAGATAAGCCACTGTTGTACCTTCAAACTCCTAATATTTACTGTGTATCTTTCCCCAAAGCCCTATAAGGACATTTTACTTCAGGGGCTCAAGACAGTTTTTAACCATGTGTGGAATATTTCAAGTTACAGATAAATAAATCGCTTAATAAGTACTTTTCTCTCATGAGGTGATGAGTTTTTGGAAATCCAATGCTTCGTAAATCTAACTTTCTAACCCATGTGTGTGGCAGGATAACGTGGTGGAGGACACTATGAGCGTGGATCCAAAGCACCATCGCTACTTCGTGGCTCGACGCGGACAGGTCCTGAGAGATCTGGCGGACGAGTACGGAGGAGTGATGGTCAGCTTCCCCCGAACCGCATCTGGGAGCGACAAAGTTTCTCTCAAAGGAGCCAAAGAATGCGTGGAAGCTGCTAAGAAACGTATGCAGGAGATTGTCGAGGACCTGGTGAGCAAAGTCAAACACACATGTTCTTGATACATATGATTGCACATTGTTCCCTCAACAATAACATGCATGTTGTTTGTGTTTAGCCGTTTAGCCTGTTAGCTTGCTGTGAAAGAGACACTTGGTTTGTCAAGCGCAAAATGCCGAAATGGATGTTAACGAGTGGAAAGTTTAGTTTAAAAAAAGTTGCCAGATGGGTCGACTGACAAGACCAAAGTAATTTGTGTTGTCAGTGTGAACTTGTTATCACCTTTTGTACTTCCCTTTTTGAAATACCACCTGATGGCAAACACACGGCTACATATTCATAGAACCGTAGTTACATTAGGTAAAAAAGTATGTTTAAACCTGGTAGATACTTGGTGCACTTTTACTATTTAATAACTTCAGTATATTTTCTATTTAAAGGGTAATTGGTCTTGGGAGATGTTACTTAAATATAGCAAACTATAATTTCCCACTTCTGCAAGTAGATGGCAGCGTTGTGCATAATGTGTGTTGCTTTAAGTCTAAGCTAAAATGTCATCTGCGTCTGTATGTTGGAGGCGTTTCAATTATCATTTGTTTAATTTCTTTATTTCCAGGAGGCTCAGGTGACAGTGGAGTGTGTGATTGCTCAGAAATTTCACCGCTCCATCATGGGCCCCAAAGGCTCCAGGATCCAACAGATCACCAGAGACCACAACGTACAGATCAAGTTTCCTGATCGGGAGGATCCTCAAGGTTAGATTACTTTGGCTTGTCTTTAACTCTATTAAATAAAAATATATATCTAAATACAAGCAGCTTTATAAACGTGTAGAATGATTTTAATGTAAATCCAGGCCTGAGTTGGGAGCTAGTGGAGATCCTATTTCCTCTGGCAGCACTATGGTGCGGGGATTCCTTTGGTCCTGGGTTTGATTCCACATCCAGAATTTAAACGTTCTACTCGTGTCTGAGTGGTTTCCCCTACATCTAAAAATCTGCGCCTCCTATAAGGCGACCCCGTTCCCATCTCTGTGTGGAGTGAGGCAAATGCCCTCAACAATTGTTAAGTGCTTTGTGATTCAAGGTCTTTGAAAGGCGCTATAAAAATAAAGACTTACTTACTACTTTTTAAATGGCCGTTATCCGAGATCTTTTTGTTAGTACGTGTCAGACCTGTTCATGAGTTGAAGATGAAGTTGTCCTCATGACTTGAGTCTAGTTGAGTTGTGAAGAATGCATGTCTACTGTTGTGATTTAGGGCTATGCTAGAATAAATTGAATTGAATATTTGATCTAACTCTTGTCTTGTTTCCATGTTCCAGCTGCTGCGTCCCCCACTGAAGCACCAGCACCGCCACAGGAGAATGGAGAGGCCAACGGCGAGGTGAAAGAACCAGTGGATCCAAACGCACCCAAAAAGTGTGACGTTATAGTGATCTCCGGAAGAAAGGAGCGCTGTGAATCTGCTGTGGAAGCATTGAAAGTCAGTACAAGAGTTCAGAACTTAATTTTGTTCCTTTTTCACAAGCGAATACTGAAGTGTTAATAATCTTGTTCTTTAGGCCTTGGTTCCCGTCACTATTGAGGTGGAAGTGCCTTTTGAGCTACATAGATACATTATTGGACAGAAAGGAAGTGGAATTCGTAAGATGATGGACGAATTTGAGGTATGCGTCTTGCTTTCATGAAATGTTTAGCATTTTTATCTGAAAACTGAGCTTTGTTTGTATTATCTCTTAGGTGAACATTCAAGTGCCTGCACCTGAGCAACAGTCCGACAAAATTGCCATCACCGGCTTGTTCAATCACCTTGACCGCGCCAAAGAGGGTCTCTTGGATCGCGTCAAAGAGCTGCAAGTGGAGCAGGAGGATCGGGTCAGTGCCGAGCAGTGGCCCATGCATAATATGTATACTATAATATATTTAGTATTCTATACATCCCCTTAGATTATGCACTGCATTTGAGCCAAAGACCGTATATAGATGGACAATGCTAACCTGCTTGCTCAATGAGGCCTAATGGGGAAGTGCTAATGGACAAAGTTTTGCTCCTAGTGACTTGCGTTAAAGAGTAAACTCCTATCTCTAAACAGTGTGCGTAACACTCACAATTTTTTGGCTTTAAAACTGTGGTTTAGTGTCTTCTATGATTCTGGTTTTAGTTAATAATGTCTGTGGTTGTTCATCAACGCTCGTATCTTTTTTTTCCTTTTAGTTGGTGGTATGGTAATGTGTCTCTGTGTTTGCAGGCACTCAGGAGCTTCAAACTGACCATCACTGTGGAACCCAAGTATCACCCTAAAATCATCGGCCGAAAGGGTGCCATCATCACGAACATCCGCACGGAGCACGATGTGAACATCCAGTTTCCAGAGAAGAACGATGAGAACCAGGTGCAGAAAAGGAATTTTTCTTTATTTCTCATTTTGATATCATTATGTCCGATCAGATATTACTATGAAAACAATAACTATATTATTCTTATTATCATCTTGTTTGTGTTATTAACAACTAATCAGAATTAAAGCCAGAGTTGCATTGCTGTCTTCTGGCTGTGAGTGTTGTTACTACAGAAAATGATTAACTATGAGGTAATAAAAACACTTGATTTAAGTATTTATCTTGATTTGAGCACATGTTGGCCGTCAAAAAAAAAGATTTGCCAATGACTCACCACTTGAAATAAGACTAAACGGTTTGTTCCATTGGCAAGTCTTGTTTTAAGAAAGTCAAAATGTACTTAAATTAGGATGAAAGCACTTGATTCAAGCATTATTACCTTACATGTCACTATTTGCAGTGTATACAATATGAAACCATTACTAGACTCAAAAGTACTGTAGCAAAACTAGACTGTACACAGCTCAATGGGTGCATGTGGTGGTCTGAACACGCACCCTTCACCTTTTTATTATTCTTTATAACGTTCACGCAACTAATACTGAACTTTGTTTGTTTTGCAGGATCAGATCACTATTACAGGGTATGAGCACAAAGCCATAGCTGCACGTGATGCTATTCAAGCCATTGTGGACGAGCTGGAGGAGATGATCTCTGAGGACATGACACTAGACAGCAGGGTCCACGCCCGCATCATCGGAGCCCGCGGCAAAGGCATCCGCAAGATCATGGACGAGTTTAAGGTCAGCCGCTCCTTCACTTTGTTTCCATACAGGTTTCTGACAGTGGCAGACTTGACTAATTCTTTAAAAAATGTTGACACCCCAGCTTTAAACAGACAGAAATTAAACCTTTTAAAGCAATTTGGTTGTTTTTAGCATTTTATTTTTTCTATATATAAATAGTTAAAAAGAGAGGACCACCCTACCTCAGCTAATTTATTCTCAACCCAAAGCCTCAAATAGTGACCCGCACGGCTTTCTTACAAATTTGCAAAATGTATGATGTTTTTTGATATGCAGCATGGTGTAAAGGCAAAATGTTTCTGTTGGGACAATCAACATGGCAGTTTACATGGCAGCCCTGCTTAAGTTACATTCTCAAGCTCCTCGAGTCTAAATAAAGTGAATGCAGCATATTGTATGAAGGAGAAATCTCGGTGCCAGAGACCTCCCCCCCCCCCATCCCCTCATACAAATCCTTTCTTTTTTATGTGCATACAGGAGGTCTGTGTTTAAAAAAAATGTACCAAGTGCCATTCACTGGCTGCTTCAAATAAAGCAAAATGTAATGGGTTTGCTGCTAGACATTCTTTGTATTGTGAGAAAAGCTTTTTATTTTGAACATCCACCAGTACTTGCCAAGGAGTTGTGCGTCTCTCATCACACAGGAGGATTCTTTTGAAGGAGAGTTCTTTATCCCCCTTTCCGCACTTAAACACTCTTTTATGTGCCGTTATTAGGTTGACCTCAGATTTCCTCAGAATGGAGCTGCTGACCCCAACCTTGTGACAGTCACCGGTCGCCCTGAACACGTGGATGAAGCCATCGACCACCTCCTCAACCTTGAAGAAGAATATGTACGTGTCTTCATCTTGAATGTGCTCATGCTCCTCTTTTCCCTCTGTTTACAACTGAACTGGAGGCAGGTCTGGGTTGGTAACTGCTCCAGCTGCTGCCAGGTGAAAGTTTTGGTTTATATTAATTCAAAAGACACTGGCCTGATTTTAAAGTGATGAATTTGATGTAGCCAAATAAAGGCCTTGGGGAGATAAAGGCGATTGGATTGGATTGGAATTGGAATTGGATTATGGCTACACACTGGGCATTCATAAAAAGATGGATTTTTCATCTGTCATGGTGGCATTAAAGTTCTAGTTAGCATTAAAAAAAAGTATCCTAAATTATTGTTAAGTAAACTGGCTTGATTTAATTTTTGAAATATCCTCACAAAAATGATTTGAATGTAGGTCAATAGTGCATACTTGGGGCTTGGCTGTGCGTCTTTAACAAAAGTGTTCCTTCGCCTCAGGGCATAATCTGATCCTTTTGTCTGATCCTTTTGATGAGTGCTTTTTAAATAGAACATGTGAAGCAACACCCCAGCAGGTATGCCAAGGAGAAAGTCTGTTTTCTTTTGGCCTCTAATGTTTTTATATGATCTATCTCAGACCTGGGCAAAGCACGGCCCAGGGGCTACATAAGGCCCGGTTCATATTTCTATGTGGCCCTCACTTTTTCCCATCTGTAAACAGTCTCTCCCTATTTAAATTAATTGGATTAACTACACAATGAATGTGTGCAACCTCTTAATAATGCATCAAAAACTTCCATATTATTTAGACTTCTTTTAGCTTTAGTCCAGCTTTGATTGAATCCAAGAAATAAATCTATAGACATCCGAAAAAATAAAATCCATATTCAGTAAAATAAGAATTTTCCTCAAAGTTCTTCCCACCTGTTGTAAAAGGTTTATACAAATGTAGCCGCAGATGCAAAATATGAGCCGACACACTTTACACAAGGATAACATAAGATGTGTATCTTCAGGTCCTTCTCCCCTTTTTAAATATTTTAGTTTATCAAATTTTACACAAATTCTGCAGATTTAAAGTAAATGGTAGCCACATGAAAATGTGGTTACCATTTTCTTTACATTTACTTTAAATTGAAAAATGAGTTTTTCCCACAATACAACGATGTCCCAAACTGGCCCCAGGATATAATTTCCTAGCCCCGTTCTGTCTGCACAATATATATGTACTTTTATTCAGCTGAGATCATTTTCCTTTTGATGCCAGTGTATTGACCCCGTGCATGACTTGTGGTTGTTTTCAGATGGGAGATGTGACTGAGAACGAGTCAAAGATGACGTACATGAGGCAGTCCGGAGGTGGTGCTGGGGCCTCTGATGACCACCGTGGGGGGCCTTCCAAGGGCTTTGTGGTGAGGGAGGCTCCTTGGGCAGCTGGCAGTGAGAAGGTAGGCCTGTCCCCATCACATGAGAAATCTGATTTTCACAGATTTTTTTTACTATGACAGTGGTTTTGACTAGTAAACATACTTTTGAATGCATGTTTGGAATAATTTGTATATTCTTAAAGCCTGACTATGAAACGTGCTGACTATTTTTACTTCATATTAGACCTCTCCACATCATTGGACAATGCATGGATACACACAACAAAAATAACTTTTATTATTAAAGATTTACAAAACGATGACATCTATTTGAAAATATAAAGTGGATGGATGATTAAAATGTAATGTAGAAATTAGATTGTTGTTTTTAATTGCTGTTAATGTTGCTGTTTGTGTTTTTTGGTTACTGTGTATTTTTGATGAGTATATAGACCCCAGGAAGAAATAGCAACTGTATATTTCTGTATCTAATGGGGATCTGAATAAAACCAAACACGCAGCACATGGAACTAACATCGCCTTCATTGTCTCTTTTCTCTAGGCTCCTGACATGAGCAGCTCTGAGGACTTCCCCAGTTTTGGAGCCCCGGTGGCCACAAAGACCTCCCCTTGGGGACCTAAGCGCTTCTAAAAAAAAAAAAAAAAAATGCTGCTACACAAACGGGCCTGAATCAAACCAGACACGACCCCCTCCTCTGTGTCCCCATCGTGTCCAGGACTGACCGCTGACCCCAAAACTCCTCAGTTCTGAAAGTGTTAGTCTCATATCGTTGGCCTGGCCTGCAGATCCATTGGTCTAAATATGCTTTCAGACTCTTATTGTGAGCTTTGTAACTACATTAAACATAGTCTAACAAAGCTACCGCAGCCTGTGCAGTCATAAAAGGCTGGCATTTAAATGTTGATTAGAGATGACATTTCATTGTGGTTTGAACAGTTCTGAAACCAAATTAAATGGTGGCCAGACATCAGTTTCTTTGAGCTGCCCTTATCTTAGTTGCCTTCGCAGGGTTTGGGGTTAAGTGATTGAATGACGGCTGGTGCTTCCTTCTTACAAAATGAGGTCCAGCCATTTCAGTGATCACCCCTCCCTGCTTTTCTCATGTAGCCAAGTGAGATCTGTGACGTCAGCTCTATAGCACATTGTAGAAGTTCCCTGTCTAAATATCTATTTGCTTGTAACTGTGCTTTTAAACTTGTGATCCTGCTCAACTAGTGGCACCTTTGCAGCCTTATGAATTGGCAAACTCTAAGAAGGTGAACGGCTGTGATCGAACTGCCAGATGCGTGGAGACTTGCCAGAACTAAACCCACACTAGGCCCAGTGCTCCTAGTGCGTCAGCCTCACACTAACTGTTTAAAGGTGGTTCATTTTAAAATAATGTTTGTGAGATAATAGCGATTCATGTGCCAACTTCCTGTTCTGTGTAACTCATCCTATGGGTCAGTGTCCAGTCCCTTTGTCTTCCAGTTGCTATGCAGCTTGTCATGTTGAATAGCAATGGCCCTTTTTAACAGCCTTAACACTAGAAAGACTCAAACTAAATCCATGTTGATTCTCAGATGTGCACATAATGAACTGGAAGGCAGGTTCCTTGAGGAGCTTTGGTAAATATCTAATCAATGAATTTCACATTTGGCATCAATCAGCCTTTGGTTTTTATCTTTCTAGTATAGAAATTAAAAGATTATGCAAATACCATTGAAGTGAACGGTTGTGGATGACACTGGAAAAGAAATTGTCCAAAATCAATAAAAACGGAAAATTTTGACCAGTATTGTTGTGTGTGTCCTAGAGTTATGTTTTTTAGATTGTTTTATTCTTACTCTGAGTTTCTGAGCAAATCTAGTGCAATTCCAAAACTCAATGTAAATCTTATATATACTATATTCATCTTTTTTTTTTGTCTCATACAAACATTCAATTGGTCCATATTTTAAAAAAAGTTAAGAGAAAATACAAGTCCAAACAGGTCTATAGATGGTGTTTCTGCTTTCTCAGAGCTGGGTTGTAGCTTTTTTTTTTTTTCTTTACTCCAAAAAATAAATGGGATAAAATAAGGATTGCATTAATTGAAGTAGGCTGTAGGCATGAGCTGATCCAATGTCAAACAAGCAGTATAAAAAGCTTTATCTCCACCGTTCTTGATCACCAACACGATCGGAACATAAAACTCACTTGCTATGATACATTCACTGACAAGTGAATGTATCATACTCATCCAGGGGTGTCAACTCCTCAACGGCCTTGTGGTTGAAAAGGTCTCACAGGGAGCGTCCTCTGACCCGGGACAGTGCTGAGGACTGAACCAGAAGAGACCCTGTGACCCCCACCCTGCACCTGCTCTGTGGAAGGCACCTCCTCAGGCTTTTGTTTGAGGAGTTGAGGATGTACTTGATGCGCTTTTATCCATTTTTCTTGTTGGTGCAGTAGTGTCGTCTTCTTCCATCCTTTCTCCCTCAGATACCTGTTTATGCAACTCCATCTCAAACTGTTGTCTCACCTTCTGAAGACAAAAGCAGGCTAGAAATCTCCAAGTCTGCTTTAGTTTTATATTTAATACTTTGGTAACATGTGATCAAAGGCTCCAGATTACAAGTATCACATGTGCACAGAAACTTAAACGCCAGTAGCTTAAACTTAATGTCAGTTCTCATGACTCTACCCTGGAACTCTCTATGGGCCTTGTTTGTTGACCGTAGTACTCTCTATTCTCCACAAGAGGGCTCCCCAGACTAAAACCCAGCTCTTTAGGCTTCTCTTCTCCAGCACAAGCTCTAACTCTTTCTGAATCTGTCCCAGTGGAACAGTAATCAAGATCACAACATTGACAAAAGGAGTTTTAATCATTAGGGCTTTTGTTGTTACGGTTTACAGCTGCAGGGTTGAAGACAAACACTTGTAAACTGATGACCACTGTTTACAGATAAGAGTAATGGGATAAACAACAACACAGGCTTGTCTTTGATACAGTGGATCCAGAACCATTTAGAAGAGAACCCCTGTAACTGCCAGGATCAGTGGCATCAGAGTTATAATATTTTAGCATTGTTTTTTTGCAAGAAATTAATGGAATTTTGTTTTATCTTTTTTGACCGATGTTCTATGTCATAAGATACATAATTATTCAAATTACAAAGAAGACATTCACAATGATATGCAAATAGATAACTATAGTACTATAATGTTCTAGGGCACCTTGAAATCAACTCACTTTGAGAATTGCTGTCTTTTTGCAATACAATAAATACTTATTAAATACACAAAAAATCCATTTCACTAGTTCCTCGTTCACAAAACAGTTTGGTTCCATCTCTTTACATGTATGTATATTTGGCCTTTATTATATCTTTGGACTTTTCAGAGAGCCAATCAGCTTTCAGAATATAAAAGATCAAACGATTTCCAATAACAAAATGTTACTCAAACAAGACACAAGGTACTGTATATAAGTCCTCCAGCTTTGAGAAGGACTTCATGTAGTTCAAGTACAATAATGCCCTGTTGCAATCAAAAATACAATTAATAATACAATTACGGTATCTATTTTATACTGTGTTAAAAGTCGATTTACCAATGAGTACAAACTGTCAGCTAAGTTTTACTTATTTGAAAAACATTCAAGCCTCTTAAATACAGAATTTCCTATAACTTCTCCTGCTGTCTCACTGACAGCAGTGCTGTCAGTGAGACACTGCTGTCTCACTAACATGGACCAGTGGACTCCCTCCTTCACTGCATCCAACAGATAAGTGAGTGGATACAAAACAAACGTCAAACTACAGACTAAACCTAAATGATTGTATTTGGTCCTCAGCCTCTCTCCCTAAAACCTTCAAACCAGGTCAGATATCATGGGTAATAATGTCCCCAGAGAAAGCGGAGCTATTGTACATGTTTTTACCTTGGAGAAATCTTTGCAAACATGGGGAGAACCTGCAAAGTATAAAGCCAGAATCAAAAATATATCATCTAGAGCAGACTTTCCATGTGTTTATCTCCAGTAGATTGGACTACTGTCACGGCCTGTTCAATGGTCTGCTCAATGGTCGCTCCAAACGGGCTGTAAAACTGCTGCAGTACATTCAAAATGCTGCAGTTCGAATCCTGTCTCGAACCAGGAAGAATGATCACATTAGTCCAGTCCTCAGGTCTCTGCACTGGCTTCCGGTCTCTCCATGGCCTCGCACCAAAGTACATCTTTAACGTTGTTAGTGCAAGCCATATGAACCAACAGGGACTGGCCTCCTGCTGGCACCCAGAGTCAGGACTAAACATGGGGAGGCAGCGTTTCAGATTAATTTAGCGAAATCTAGAACAATCTTCCTTAAAATCTGAGACAGGATTCTACTCTGACAATGTCCAAATCCAGGTTTTTTACTGCATGATTTTTTTTTATAAGCCTTGTGTGTTTTTATGGTTTCTTTATTTTGAGTTGCGTTGTGGATGAACTGTGCTGTACAAACAAACCTGCCTTGCCATATCAAGATACACATTTTCTTCAACCACTTTTACTTTTACTTTTTAACATATTCTGCAGTTTACCAGAATCTTCCAAGAATAACGTCTACACCGACAAAAACCATGGACACATATTCACATATTCAATTTTCCACATGTGTACACCTGCATTAGGACAAGATCTCTCTCCAACAGCAGAACAAGCAAAAAAGTAGGGTTGCTTTATCGCTTTGCCTGCAACATCACAAACATTTTCTAAAGCTTTATGCGCACTGGCCAGGCCTCCACAATGCCACATTTACAATCTGCTGAGTGGCCCCTGCTGGTTTTAAAGGGAGGTTTCAAAAAGCCTTACACCGGGACTAAATGCATGGTTTTGTGGTGGAGAGAACTGCTGCTTTGGCTTCAGTGTTCATTGAAGTGGTGGCATACAGTGGTGACTATGGAGAATGGGCTGTTTCTAAGCTTATTTGTTGGATAAATATGAAGCTATGAAAAGGTCACATAGTCGTTCCACAGCTAATAATGAAAACCAGGATCGGACAGAATATTTTGTGTTTTTGTCATTTATATTGAGTTTTAAAGCAAGGTGAACATCTTTGTGTAGTTTGAAGATGGATTTGGGTGGTTGTGTAAGTCTTTTATAGCCCCACAGTAAAACCCAGTGTCAGGTACCCATGGTTCTATTATATTAGCATCCCACAGACCCATCATCAGCCTCTGTCCTCGTTTTACAGCCTGAGTCCTGCATCTGTAGCCTGTCCATCTGTTGGAACGGATCCCTCTCTCAATGTGGGTCCCCCCGAGGTTTCTATTTTTCTATTCTGTCTTTTCCTTGCCGATGCAGGAGGGTCTAAGGACAGTGATGATCTGGGACATTTTAGGACATTTTAGGACATTTATGGACTAAAATTAACATGACAGTGGTTGCACAGCTCCCTATGGACCAATGGCTCCTATGTGTTTGTTATTATAGTATTTCCTGTGTTTGAGCTGTTTGATTGTCTGATCTGTTGTTGGTGAATTGACAATTTTGTAAATAATAATAAGCATCGATTTTATATAGCGCTTTTTTGGGACATTCAAAGACGCTTTACATGTCACTATTCATTCACTCACACGCCAGACTCATTCTAGGCAATGGGGGTGAAGTGTCTGCCGCAGCTGCC